CTCCCTTTAAATCCATGTCAGGCCCCTATCTATTTTAAGGGTCTGGTATAGATTTGGGGGGTTGTTATTTTTTGTGACCACATAAAATGTTTTTTTGCACACAAAATAATACAAAGAATTAAACACAAACATAAAAAATTACATGATATTATTTACGTATTATTTACGTATTATAATAACAGGGCTCAAAATTTCACGGCCTGAGCTACTAGCCAGGCCTTCAAAGTTACTCGCCACCAGTTGCCCTGCATAACACAAACAAACACACGCAAGGCACAACGCGCACACAGCACAACACACATACAGCCACAGCATAACGCACAGGGCATTACACATACAGCCACATCACAACGCACAGAGCATTACACATACACATTTCATCTGAATTTAATTTTTAGTCTTCGCACATGTCTTATAATATGTGTGTGTGTGTGTGTGAGGGGGGGGGGGCAGTTTTCACTTTTAAAAAATAATTTTTAACATTTTTTATTTTTTTATTATAATTTATTTATTGTTTTACTGTTGGGGAGGGGGGCTTATCGAGGAGGTCCAGGAGTCCCTCCAGGAGTTGAGTGCCTGACTCAATGGCTTAATTTCCACTTGCCCCCACGCAATTTTCACTCGCAAATTGCGAGGGGGCGAGTGGAAATTTTGAGCCCTAATAATAGTATTGTTACAATTTTTTCGCCTTTCTCCAAATATAATTTTAAATCATAAGAGTAAATTTATTAAAACAGTATACCAAATAAAAGCATTGTATGTCCTTAAAATAGAGATGTAAAAGATATATATTTTTTCAAGTAGAGATGCACCAATACGGATACTAGTATCGGTGCCGATACCGAGTATTTGTGTGATTACTCGTACTCGCCCAAATGCTCTGATGCCTAGCCCGACACTTGAGCTTCCGGTATCAGGAAGCCGGGCAGCGAGTCATTACACGCTGCCCGCCTTCCTGATTGGCTGGGTAGCCGGCTCCATGCTCCCTCGTCACTTGTGACGAGGGAGCCAGCTTCCCGGCCAATCAGGAAGCCGGGCAGGGTGTCATTACATGCCCCTGGCTTTTTGTTTGGCCAGAAAGCCGGGTTCATGCTCCCTCGTCACCTGGTGACGTGGGAGCGGGGAGCCGGCTTCCCGGCCAATCAGGAAGACGGGCGCCGTGTAGTGTAGTGTATTCTGTGTGGCCTCACTATTTAAAGCTGAAGTTGCATACTTGTTGTTGTCACTATGTGGCCCAGAAGAAAAGTTGGCTATATGACGCATGTGACAATTTAATAAAAAGTGCTTTACTTCTTGCACATATCATGGAGTGCTGGTGACTTCTATTATGGACTTATCTGACACGGTGCCATCCGTGTTGTCACTTCAAGCACCAACCTTTCATCAAGGTCTGCACGCTGTATGGAGTGCAGGTGATTTCGTATTATCGGGCGCAGTGTATTGACGCGGGCAGGAAGCCAGGAAACAAGTCATTACACGGCGCCCAGCTTCCTGATTGGCCAGAAAGCCGGCTTCATGCTTCCTCGTCACCTGGTGACGAGGGAGCATGGAGACGGCTTCCCTGTTGATTGGAGTCTTTACACGCCGCCTGGCTTCCGTAATGGGACTTCTGGTATCGGTATTAAAAAATATCGGTACTTGCACTTGATACAAAAAAAAACGATATCGGTGCATCCATATTTTTAAGGTTAGGATATCAGTCATAATGTTATTGACAAGTTAACCGACACAAACTGACTTTACTACATTTGGCCTGGACATCTAGGCTTCAATGACCTCCGGTCAAGGCAGGGTTAATCTTATCCTGTATTTATGTATAATGGGTGCAGTTTATATAATTGTAGTCTAGTGATGTGTAATAGTATAGCTAAGTACCCGACAGCCCTGATGGAGCTGAGTACCCGTGTTTCTGCCACTGGAAGTTGACTGTACTACATCAAGTCTGTAAATATAATACTTGAGTCCCGCACTTAACCAGCCACAGATGTTCCGCGTTCGCCTCACACTCTGCGTCTCTGTAATGTGGTGCACTATTTAAAATAAAACATTGACAGATTTGTGTATCAGTGAAATCTAGGAGCAAAATGGAAGCAAAGGAACTGCAATGCTGTAGCACGGGGGACTAATTCAATCCAGCTTGTGCATAGCTGAAAAGCGTCAAAAGGAAAAAATATGGAGGGACCGCGGCACTTTCCTACAGAAGGATTTATGATATGAGCTCTGCAGTTTCTTATGGATCATGTCATTTTAGGGAGCTTTAATTCCAAAAAATTAGTTTACAATATTTTTGATTATTGGATTACAGCCAAGTACACTTTAATGATTGTGTGCGTCCTTATCATACCCTGCTGTTAAAGTATAACTCCAGCCAAGTGCACAGGTGAAACGCACATGTACCAGCCACAAGATTTGTAAAGCAAGATGCTGCTTCTTGATGCCCCAATGTTTTAGTTTCCTGCAGAATCAGCTGGATCCCTGAGCACTGGCCCTGATATCCTGTTTTAGGGTGGCTCTTAGGCTGGGTTCACACCTAGGCGTATTGAATATGCGCGTCTGTCGCGCGGTTTTTTTACCGCGATTCGGGGTAAAAAAGTCACGCGACCGTCGCGCGATTCCGAAGGCTGCTTGGCTGTATCCCAATGTAAAACGCCCTACATAACGGCCCAAAGAAGTACATGCACTTGTTTGAGCGTAGGCCGTTTTGTAGGGCGTTTCAGACGGGCGGAAATATGGAAAGGTGTGAACCAGACCCATAGAAAACAATGGGCTTTTCATGTTTGTACGAGCGTTCATAGAGCGTTGAACGCGCGACAAAACGTAAAGGTGTGAACGGGGCCTTAAAAAGCCACCCTTGTGTGTGCTAGTAAGCTGTGTGTGTCTTCACAAAGACACAGGCACAGCAAAGCAAGCTACACCCCTCCTCCCAGATCCCCCTCCTTCTTCATCCAAGCTAGTAGATGGACAGCTGCTGGAGAGTGCTCTGTCCCTTGTGCTCTTGTAGTGGACAGGAAGTTCAGTGAAGTGGAGAGGAGAGAGTTGGAGCTGTTTGACTGACTGTAAGTGCTTGGGAAAAAATGTAAAGAAATACTTTGCTGGGTAATGTATATTCATTAGATTTGGATCCAGAGGGATTAGATCACCTGTCAGGTTTTTATTGCTGTCTGGATCACCGTTAGGGAGATTCGCCCCCTATATTTGTCCTTGTCACCAGAACAGGAATGAATGGGAAATCTTCCAATAGGGACATTAGTTCTGATGACCCTTCTGACCACCAGGGATTTCCCTCTCTTGAGATGGAAATGGAGCTTAAAAGGGTTATAACCCTCTCTTACATTATCCAAAGCTAACTGTACGTTGACCTCTGCCCCAACAATTGTGTTGAAGGCTCAGAGAAACTAATGCTAAATAAAAGGGCAAACATAAATCTTTTGTTTCCTAAACCTGTACAGCTATAATAATAATAATAATAGTTCAGGACTGAATATTCAGAATATTCAAAATTGCTTTGTTTTGGATGGAGTATTGAAGGGTTAAAACTAGGGATGCACCAATACCGATATTTTTTTCCGGTACTCGCCGATACCGAATTCTGATACGGGAAGTCCCATTAAGGAAGCCAGGCGGCGTGTAATGACCCGCTACCTGGCTTCCTGATTAGCAGGGAAGTCGTCTCCATGCTCCCTCGTCACCGAGTGACGAGGAAGCATGGAGCTGGCTTTCTGGCCAATCAGGAAACCGGGCGCTGTGTAATGACTCGTTGGCCGGCTTCCTAATTGGTCGAAGCTGGCCAATCAGGAAGCCGGGCACCAAGTAATTACACAGCGGTTGGCTTCCTGATTGGCCCGGAAGTCGGCTCCATGCTCCCGTGCCACCAGGTGACGAGGGAGCATGAAACCGGCTTTCTGGCCAATCAGGAAGGCGGGTAATGACTTGCTAGGCGGTGAGTCATTACACGCTGCCCGGCTTTCTTACCAGAGAAATCCAGTCGATTCCCTCATCCTGGCTAAGAGCATTTATGGAGGAGTTTCCATGGCCGGCTATTGTATTTAGGGCACCGTGGTGCCTGCAGCTGCCTTATTACCGTGGTTCTCCTAAAGAGTGACTAAACAGTGACTGCACCTCATATGATTCAGTCACTGATGGCCGATAATTTTTAATCGGCTTTTGTCAATCCAGGTGGTGGGAAATTTAGCAGGATTCAGTCAAAACTCAAGCGGTTTATTGCGGTCTTATTGAACAATTGTCAGCAGAGCTGGAAGATTTGCCTTCACCTCTAGTTCTGGTGACAGATGTAAAATTCTGATACCCCATCTCTTTCTGTCTCAATGATAATGGTCACCAGTTCATATAGAAAAGGTTGAAACATATTCTGCAATTAAAAACTTGACAGGGGTTCTAATCCTTTCTAACAATACATTTGCTTTATGTCCCATCATGACTGACTCTCTTTATAATAGTAAAACAGCAGAAAGGCATCATGGCACACTCACAAACCAGCATGTAAAACAACTTGTCTCACCACTAAGGATAATGACAGAGGTTTGGATACACGTCTTCTGCAAAGGATGTGTAAGCCGCACTGCCGCGCCAAGGCACCTCTTATAGTGCGGTCCTAACTCTAAACTATAAGAGTCTCCATCTTGGAGCACATGGGGGCAGAAGATATCAAATTGGGTGCAGGTTTGTCAGGAGGACGCCCAACCTCCTTAAAGGTACAGAAACACACAAGGGATCCCGCACATCCCATTGGCAGCTGAGAAACCCCATGCGTCGCTGCACCAAATCAGTCAAGCAAAACAAACGACAAACGCACTCAACAATTTCGTTGCACCTTACTGTATAACTGGTAACAAATTGTTGAGTGTGTTTGTCGTTTGTTTTGCTTGTCTCTTTATAATAGATCACATGATATACTGATATAAGAATATTCTCTCCTCTCTGGTACACCTTTTCTCTTCTATTAATGTAATATTTCTTCTTCATTTTCTCTTCTTACTTAGGCGTTATGTCTTTGCTGCGGCCCCTTCTTCTGGATGTGGTCCCAACTATCCAGCAGACCTCTGCTCTGGCTCTCGGGAGGCTAGCCAATTATAATGAAGATCTGGCAGAAGCAGTTGTTAAAGGAGACATTCTTCCACAGCTTGTGTATTCACTGGCCGAACAGAATGTAAGTCAATACTTTATGGAAGTTTTTTTTTTTTCTGATTGTCTGCAATTGTGGCAATTAACATAACTCATTGCAAACCAAATTCTGCCTTTAGACAGTTCAAGGGTGGCTCGTCATTAGATTTGAACAACTGCCTGTCCCCGTTTGTCCTTTAAAGATTAAAGTGAACCTGTCAGGCATTTTCAACTCATGAACAATACCTTCCTAAAAGGAACACGGAGGCAGCCATTTCCATTTCACTAAAGCTAGGTGGCTGGTTGTGATGCTCACCATCATGTTTGAACTCTGTAATCATTAACTCAGAACAAGAAGACTTATATGATTTTCAAAGACTTCTTACATGCATACTTATTTCAAGTCAAGTGACAGAAACCAGAGGGTCAGTATATCAGCCAGCAACTAGCATTTTCAGAAGAACAGCAGTGGCAGCCCTCATATTTGCCTTAACCCTTTCGCCATATGTTGGTGGCTGTGGGCCCCTGTAAGCAAACTCCCGGCAGTCTGTGTACTATCGATCACTTCCAAGGGCTCTAATATGTGCACCCCCCCTGCAGTGTTTCCCTTCTGCGGGCCTGGGACCACGATCGCAGTTGCCGGTGGAGGAAAGGGAAATAAACCAGTTAATGTCCGTTTGCTGATCTCCTTATCTTAGCTGACCCCGCTAAATGAACCCAGAAGCGACATTGATTTTGTCACTTCCAGTTTCTTAGCTGTCATTCCCTGGCTAAAAAATGGGTAATATATTTTGTTGTGTTTATGTGCACTAAAATGAACAAGTGTTATTTTTTTATTGAAAGTTTGGGTTTGATAAACAGTTGCACTAATAGCATGCGACATAACAATTTGCAGAAGTCACCATTGTATTCTAGAGGGTCTCTACGTTTAGGAAATATATAATTCTGGGGGCTTTTAAGTAATCTTCTGGCCTAAAATATTCATTTTAACATGTGTGAAAAAAATGACTCTGGAAGTGAAAGGGTTAACGAGGAACTAAACTGGAAACTGGAAGTGTTAAGTGTACATAAGCAGTAAGTTTTCCTTTTTGTTTTGAGTTCTTCCTGAAAAAACACTTTCTGGTATGTGAGGGTGTCTACGCACTGCTGTGCATACAGCCACATAGCCAGGGCTTGAAAAATCTGCTCGGCCTCTCATCTGTGACGAGTAGCTTCCCGGCCTGCCGTGGTAATTCAACGGCCGGCCAGGAGCTTTACATTCAAGCAATCGGGCGTCTCTAGAGACGCTCAATCACTTGTATTAGCAGTAGCGGTCACTGCCGTTGCCGGTCCTGAGATCCGCTGTGCCTGGTGCAGCTGGGACCGGCACGGCTGTTCTGTGACAGGAGATTAAAGGGAGATCGGTACACGATCTCCCTCTAAACTCCTCTCCAGTCCCCGAATGCAGGAAGTGATGTATATTACATTACTTCCGCATTCTGCTGTCACTCTCCAGCTTCAGAAGCTGGTGAGAAGTTGGTGAAGCAGATCTCTGCTTCATCAGCTTCTCTGGGGGTCCCTAGGTGACATTAGGGGTCTTGGAGACCCCTGATGTCTCCATAAAGAGGACCTGTCATGTAAATTGGCTATCACGTAGGGAGCAATAAAGTTAAGTGTAAAAAAAAAAAAGAGTAGTAAAATAATAAAAAAAACAGAAATTTCCCCGGCCCCCACATACACACGCAAACATGCGTCACGTGCGCCTACGTGTGAAAACGACGATTGTGCCGCACATGTTACATATCACCGCGAACATCGCAGTGAGAGCAATAATTTGAGGTCCGTTAATGACTGATAACACTAAACCAATGAGCAGTAAAAGCGTTTTGAAGTGTCGCCTATGGCCAATTTTCGGTGTGGCTGTTTTTTTGTGATTTTTGCGGGCGCGCGCAATTTTAAGGCTTGACATGTTTGGTGTCTATTTACACGATGTGACCCCGTCTTTTATATTTTACCATAAATATGGGTACAAATAAATGTTTTTTTAACATAACGTAAAGGATTTTTTTTTGCGAAATTTACGGTACTTTTTTCATTATATAGAAAAGAATAACCCCCCCCCCCGCCTCCCCCAGTGGTGATTATATACCACCAAAAAAAGCTCTATCTGTCCATAAAAAATGTTAACATAAATTGCAAGGCTATAGTCCGGTCATGCTGACTGGTGACATTTTTGACTGACTGTTGAGACACCCTACATTTTTCAAGCCCTGCACATAGCTGTATATCTGCAGCATGAGATCTAAGGCACTGTTGCTCCTGACTGCTAGCTTAGGAGATTTAGAGTGACATTTGATAATGTCACTACTGTGCTGCTCACTGTTCTCCCTTCTAGAGGTCTGACATGGAGAAGCAAAGTTCTTCCTCTACCAAGATGGCTGCCTCCGTGCAGAAAAGGCATGGCAGGTTAGTAATGAGGGAGTGGTGAGTGGTCCTTTGCCCTCTGCTTGCCTTCCAGAGTTCCTTTTTAACAAAGCAGGATCAACAAGGGTGCTGCTATTGTCTTTGGTTAGAAAGCAGTGCACCTCTGTGTATGTAGATACATTTCACCTGTTCTCAGGCACTGTGACTTTTATCTCATCTGTATGCTATTCCACTTGTTACAATGGTCATTAGGTTGCACAACATACAACAGACCACCTAGCGTGTAAAAATGCCCATTTAGCTTCATCAATGATCTCGGCTCTGTCTTGCTTGATGCCACCCTCTGGGCCTGCCCGCAGCGTTCCTTAAGTTTGTCCCTCAGGCCTGCCCCTAGCCTTCCCTTCCCCTGGCTTCTGTGCTGGAAATTCTCCCATTGTATCAAAGTGCAGCGGCCGAGTCCTTGTGTTTGCATAAATAATTCATGTGTATGCCGATGAATAGAGCCTAAATGACAGGCTGTTGTATAGTGCAGACACTTGACCTGGGATAAGCAGGTGGTTGTTTATTGCATTTAAATGGCCCCAGAAGGAGAGTGTAAGCTGTTAAAACCACATCACCTCAACTAAAACAATTCTCTTCTCCCCTAATAAGCATATGGGAGTGTCTGTAATGTGCTGAGACTAGAATGTCTGGGTCCCCTTATTAGCCAACCACATTCCATCTGTAAAGATACATATTGAAGGAGACGAATTATCATTCACTGGTCAGGCAGTGGTCTGAGAATGTTTTCCCTTATTTAATATTCTGATATTCTGGAAAACATAAGTTGGTTGTTTTCTTCAGTTTACTTTTTATATAAAACATTGTTACTGAATAACTGAGGATCTTTTAAACATAATTATTAAAGTGTTATTATACCTGTGTAAAAATATATATTTATGTGCAAACCGCAAGTACTCGTATTGCTGCTGTTCCATTTATTTATAGAGCCTCTTTGCAGAAATATCTAAATCCCATTGATTGCCCCCAAGAGGGTGACTCTATTGCCTTGAAAGGGGCTTTCTGAAGCCACCCTCACGTGCATGCTCCTAGATAGGATTGTGTGCTGACACACATGGGCACAGTTGGCTGACGTCCCGCCCAGCCGCTAGGCCGTGACATCCTCTGGTTTCCAGGAACTGCCGAGGATGCTGACCAGAGCGTCCCAATGCTGGGTATTTGGGGGATATGCGTTAGGCTGCTCTGCCTGTGCCCCCTAACAGATGCTGGCTGCTTCATATTAGGGACGTTCCTGCATGGGCACCACAAAGCAACTAACAGACGCTAAATGCTCAGGCTCGGGCACAGGTATGTAAGTGCAAATGGGCTGACGCCACAGGAAAGTGTGTAGTCTCAATGCAGTAGACCGTCTGACCGGGACATGATATGAGCAATGCACGCTCCCAGGCTGGAGGTTCAGGGGGGCGCTGCAAGGACTCTGCAAGTTAAAGGAATTGGAAAGGGAGCCTCTGAGGCAAACTAAGGATGAAGGAACTCGCAATAATCCATAGTGATGCACTGCTAAAGGGAAAAATGCTTTTTATGCCTAGGGCAGGGGTAGGCGACCTTGGCACTCCAGCTGCACTGAACCTACCAATGTCACCATGCCTCCATGTCTCTGAGAGTTATGTCTATGGCTGTCAGAGTCTTGCATTGCATTATGGGAGTTGTAGTTCCACAACAGCTGGATTGTGAAGGTTGCCTACCCCTAGCCTAGGGTTTAATACTACTTTTTTTCTTTAATAGTTTTTGAAATTGTGTACAAACAGATTTTTCTTTAAATCTTTTGAAATGATTTAGATCACTTTTTTGTATTTAACAGATAAATATTTCATACAGAGTGCATGAATTTCACTGACTTTACATATATTTGTAATAAGATGCCTGCATGCTTGAAGCTTCCATCTTCATTCAGCTGTATGTGTAATCTGAGCTCTCTAGGCTTTTTCACAACAACAGCTGTTATCTGAGTCCCCAGGATGCTGGTGCTTAGAGCTCGCCACCTGCTGGCTGCAAGTGGTAAAATACATGCACATACAATGGGAGGAAATTTATCAAAACTGGAGCAGACAAAATCTGGAGCAGCTGTGCACGGCAACCAATCAGCTTCTCTCTTTCATTTTCAAATCTCAACTGAACAAACTAAACAGAGAAGCTGATTGGTTGCCATGCACAGCTGCTGTGACATAAAAATGTAGTTATAAATTTTATTTCTTAGTCCTGAAGATAATAAATAATAAAAGTAGGGATTCACCGGTACTGGTTTTTCAGTATCGAGGGAAGCCGTCCCCATGCTCCTCATCACTAGGTGACGAAAGAGCATGGAGACAGTTTTCTGGCCAATCAGAGAACTGGGCACAATGTAATGACGCGGCGCCCGGCTTCCTGATTGGCCGTAAAGCCGGCTCCATGCTCCCTCGTCATGAGGTGACAAAGGGAGCATGAAGCCGGCTACCTGGCTAATCAGAAAGCCGGGCGCTGCGTCAAAGCACAGTGCCTGGCTTCCTGATTGGCCAGCTTCCCAACCAATCAGGAAGTTGGGCATCCAGTCGATACATGTTGCTTGGCTTCCTGATTGGCCGGGCAGCTGGCTTCCCGGCCAAT